CTCTTTCATTGTATAAAATATTCCCTAAAGGAAGAAGTATTCTTTAAAGTATTTCTGCTTGTTTGGTCTCCTCTCTGGCACCTCCAGTGGTAGTTTAGATTGAGGAATTGAGTCTTCTCCAGGGCACTGAGGGAAAAAAGGACTAAAATGGGCATATGGATTCTAAAAATCAGAAATGAGACAGAACACTGCTGAGACAAGAGAGGCTGGATGGTACCTTTCTTGTTAGAATATTATAAGAAACTACCTGGAATATATCTGAAAGTGACTGAGGCTAGAAAGGTTAAGACTTCAATTGAAAACACAGGGGAAATGGAGTTGGGGTGAAGAACCTGGGCTGATCAAGCCTCTTAGCAATTTATACAGTAATATCCTGAAAGGAGAGCATCTGTGCAATAAGACTACAGAGCTATCCTCCCTGTATTTAGAGAGGGTAGGAAACAATGGGTGAGATTAAATCCCAAAACTGAATAGTGGACGATCACTTGACTATAAACCAGCAGTGTGCAGCAGCAGCCAAAAAAGCTAATACAATCCTGGATTGTATAAACAGAGGCATAGAATCAAGATCACATGAAGTATTAGTACCGCTTTATAAAAACCTAGTAAGACCACACCTGGAATACTGAGCCAGTTTTGGTCACCATATCACAAAAAAGATGTTGAGAGTTTGGAAAAAATTCAGAGAAAAGCAACTAAGATGATTAAAGGCCTGGAGACTAAAGTATATGAAGAACAGCTTCAGGACTTGGGTTTGGCTAGTCTAAAGAAAAGAAAAAATAGGGAAATATGATAGCAGTATTTCAGTATTTGAGGGGCTGCCACCAAGAAGAGGGGGTCACATAATTCAACAGAGAGCAGGACAAGAAACAATGGTTGGAAACTGATCAAAGAGAAAAGCAACCTGGAATTAAGGAGAAACTTCCTGACACTGAGGACAATTAACCAGTGGAACAGCTTGCCTCCAGAAATCATGGGCGCTCCATCACTGGAGATTTTTAAGAAGAGGCTAGACCAGTGATGGCAAACCTTTTAAAGACCGAGTGCCCAAAAACTGACCCACCCCCGCTCCACCCCCTGCCCCGGCCCCACCCCGCCTACTCGCAGGGCCACTCACCATCTCCAGGGCCCACCACAGATTGCCCAGGCAGCCCAGCAGCACCATGGCAGCCACGCCCTCTGGCCGCGCCCTGCAGCATCAACTGTGCATGATGGGCCGTGAGGGCAGAGTCTTGTCTATGCTGCCTGGCTGCCATGTCCTTGGCTGCACTCATTCACATGGGCCACGCTCGGGGGTGACTCTCCTCCAGAGGGGTTGCTGGTGAGGAGGGGGTCATGGGGGGAGGCAAACCTGGGACAACGGCATGTGTACCCACAGAGAGGGCTCTGAGTGCCGCCTCCAGCATGCGTGCCATAGGTTCGCCACCGCTGGGCTAGACAATCACTTGTCTAAAATGGTATAGGTTTTCCTGCTTAAGCGAGGGGCTGGACTAGAAGACCTCCAAGGTCCCTTCCAGCTCTATTCTATTCTATTCTATTCTATTCTGTTCTGTTCTGTTCTGTTCTGTTCTGTTCTATTCTATTCCATTCCATTCCATTCCATTCCATTTGTTTAATTTTCCCTTGAGGAGAAGCTTGAGCAGTACAACTGAGCTGTTCTTCAGTCATATAGCTAGCTATAGCCTGAACTTAACAATAAAAGAGAAGAGTAAGATCTATAAAAATCAATCATTTTAAATATGCACTAAGTATGAATGGCAAGTACAAAACCACCAACTTTTCAAAAGAAAGACTAAAAACAACCATTAAAAGTCAATAAACAAAGATATCTAAAACTATCACTCAAAAATATAGCCCCAGAGTGTTAAGTTATAACTGACATAATGTAGAGGTACATACATTAAAACATTTGGGTGAATAATGATAGTTTGGTATGACCCTGAAAGAGCAAGAACAGAAGATTCTAAGACTAAGTGAACTTTCCTAAGAGGACATTTCACAATATGGACCCACCTCTGAAAATGCTTGCTCACCTCAAATAATCATTTAGTTAGGCTCAAAATATACAGATATTCAGAGCAAGGCCTCTAATGAGGTCCTTGGAGTTATTTTCCTTACCAGAAAATGGTTGATAGAGAAAAAACAATGTTTTTCATTAAGTTGTTTATGTTGCAAACTTCTATTGCAGACCCCATTTATTCTTTTAGAAGCCAAACAAGAATCAACCTTGTGGAGGTTTAATTTTTTTTTTTTTTTTTGTAAGATCAGATCATCCAGAAAAAAATAATTTAAAGCAAATCAAGTTTAAAAATAGAGTTGAATCTATAAAGTATATAAAATGCAAGGGGAGTTATTAGGTGAAAGTATGGATTCTCTTTGAGAAGCCAGGGTAGAAATGTCTCAGCTAGAGACTCTGCTGTTTGAATTTCACACTGGCAATTTGCTCTGAAATGGAGATGTTTTTATGCTTTCCTTCCAGGACTACCAATGGTAGAGCATTAAAGCAAGCAAGGGAGAAAGTAATGAGAGTGAAGACACTTCCTAGTAATAAGGAAGAAAAATAAGAAAGCAGTTTTGCAATTCCAGAGGATTCCTGGTACATAGTAATGTATTTGTGAGCAGAAAAAGATTTAAGAAAATCAGATCTGTAAAACAAATCACTCAAAAAGCAGTGATTGAAGCCCACAGGATATTGGTGTAATTGAACTGTAAAAATGAAAGGTGAAAAAAATAGCTGGTAGCAAAAAGAAAGAAGGAAAATTGTGGGGAGAGGAAATTATACCACAAAAGCAAGATATGATCTTACCCTGCAAGTGGATATATTCAGGAAGAGATTGTGCACCAAGAAGTTAGGACTAGGCCTACTGAATATGGGCTACAAAAACAACTAGAACAACTAGAAAGCAGCATAGATAGTTTACTTCCCTAGTATCTAATGGCATCCAGAGTTTTGAATTTTTGCATCCCAGATAGGGGAACTCTATTAAAACTGTTCTCTGCTGTTCAGTATGGAGTGGGATTATGAGGAAGAAGATAAAAAAGATTTCCTTCTTTGTCACCCCCAAAACACATAGTACAGTAAAAGAATCAGCAGTATTTTAGCTATGAACCTGATAAGAAGAATGGGGAATAATGTACATGTTCCTTCCCATATATTTTCTCCTTCCTTCCATGTGGGAGGAGAGTATTTGTTAAGGGTTGAGAAAATTTGTTAATATGTTGTCCTATGTCCTCTGCCATCAACCCTTTTTTTTTCTTCATAAAGTTGAGAAGTTGGGTCCAACATCTGCATCTTTTTCTTTATTACAGGTTGATTCTTGCTGTTTGCCAGAATTGACTAAGCAGCAGGAAGCAATTTGCCACGAGTAACATTTCAGTTGGGTAAATTCTCAGAGTAGAAACCACGGGGAGCCTGATAAGTCAAGATGGGCTCACAGTTTGGCAATATGTTCCATCTCTTTTAAGGACAATTCTTCTACCTATCCTTGGAAAATGACTTTTCCCATTTTGTGGAAAGTTACCATTTGCAGTAATTTCACTTTTGTGCATTCATAGCTGTATACCAAATAGTAAATGGTGGTTTTGAGAGTATGAAGGGTATAAAGAGGAAGTACATTTTTTATGATTTTGCAGATGACATTATAGCACTAGCACTTAGACTTGTATCCATCAAGAATGGCAATTGATCTATAGCTAAGAAGGTAAACAATTGTAAATTTTATCCAAAAGATATCCTACCCTTCTCAGGGGAGAAATGTTCATAATAAAATCTCAAAATATACATTCTGCTTCCACCTTCTCCCCCCCCCACCACCCCCACCCCAAATTATCACACATAAACTTGATAGTAATACCACCAATGTATCTTCAGCGGAGGAGCAGCCTCTGTTATCACAGCAGAATTGAACAGAGATGTAATTTGCGAATAATGGGGAAGAAGTTCTTTGGCATTTGGTGTAGTAGAAATACTTTTCACCAGCCAGGATTTTCTCAGTCCCCACCCCATAGCCAATTCCTTAACTTCTCTTTTTTCATTCTTTTATTGTAGCAGCATGTTAAATGATGCCATCCTGCAGACACCAGGACATTAAGTGGCCTGTAAATTACATGTCTCAGGGCCACTTTTCCCTGTGATGGATGCTATTCAGCATGCCCATGAGTGACCATCTGGTGGCAGAAAGACCCCCTTGGATATGGAGATTCTATGCCACCTGGCATCCATTCTAAGAACACAAACATCATGATGAATCACATTTCTTGTACTTCATAGCACCTGAGATGATGCTGCTCAAATAAAAACCCTGAGATGTGCTTGGAAAATCAATACCAGGAGGAAAACACTTACAATGAATATGAGCAATCGGCAAAGTATTTTGCAACACTTGAAATCCCTTCATGTTTTGTGGCCTTTGTGAAGCTGTGTTGTAAATTCCACAGAATCTGGGAAGGTCCATAGCATGACATGATAACATCAGAATAACTTTATTTCCCAAGACCTCTAGCACCTAGAATTCAGGGACAATAGTGTTCCACTTATTTGTAATATTTCATTAAATGGTTTCCAGGACTTGCAACTTCACCTAACCAACCCAGATATTCTTAGGAAACTCATAGCCCAACTCCAGTGATGGCTGGGTCAATATCATTGCAGGCATCACTCATTCTCCCATTTTCTTTCTCATTCCTTGCCTTCATAAAGGAAACTCCTTCTTCCATTAATGCCAGGAAAATGTAGAATTATTTGTCATGTTTATTCCTTACTGAAATGCTACATTGGAGTCACTGTGGGGAATTGTAAATGGAGAGAGGTAGCCCATCGTATTTGGGGGGGGGCAGAGGGGAGGAGGGACTATGAATTTAAGAAAGTCATCAATTGCAGTTGTTGAAGACATCCCAATAGATGCCACTTTGAGTTGAGTTGATCTGGTCATGTATTCATTATTAAGAAGGTATGAAGTGTACCAAGGATACAGCATTAATAATTGTTTTTACAATTCCAGGGCAGCTGGATTACCTCCCCCATTGCAGCAGTCATGGTAACTTTAGCCTGGAAACCTGTGGGTGCATCTGCGATGAAGGCTGGGCTGGGAAGAATTGCTCTGAGCCTCTCTGTCCCCTCGGCTGCTCTAGCCGGGGTGTGTGCATTGATGGCCAGTGTGTTTGCGACAGCGATTATAGTGGGGAGGATTGCTCTGAGGCACATTGCCCAACTGACTGCAGCTCCCGAGGACTCTGTGTGGACGGAGAATGTATCTGTGAAGAAGGCTTTGCTGGAGAAGACTGTAATGAGCTTAGATGCCCAGAGGACTGCTTGGGGAAAGGGATCTGTGCCAATGGGACTTGCATCTGCCAAGAAGGCTACGTAGGGGAAGACTGTGGGCAGCTGAGGTGCCTCAACGCTTGCAGTGGGCGTGGATTCTGCCAAGAAGGCCTGTGCTCTTGCGAGGAAGGTTACCAAGGACGGGATTGTTCAGCAGGTATGGCAGCATGTAACAGTTAAGATAGTGGATAAATATAAAGCTCAAAGGGCCCCTAGTAAATTTCAGGCCTTTGTCATTTTTAGAAATCTGAAGCCTTTTTTGTTTAAAGAAAGAACATTTGCCAAGGAAAATGTTGGACCTAGTATATAAATACAACCAGCTCCACTAGAAGTTAGTGGATTATGTATCCTTTTTTTAAAAAAAAAACACTGAAAAAGGTCATTTTGCATGGACATTGCTGACTTAGAGAAGATGAGATGCTTCAGGACTTTACTCCATCCTCATTTTTAAGTAAATAGACATAATTTGCATTTCCCACAATACAGAGAGTGAATATCATTAATTTCCAATTTTCTCATTTCTCTACCCCAAATAAACTTTAAAAGGATATAAAATACCTAGATAAGACAATCCATGTTAAAGAAAAAAGAAAATGTTTTACTATGGAAAATCATGGGACAAATGCATTTTCTTTAAATATGCAAAGCCATATCAAAACAAGATTTATACAGAGGTAGACATATGTATGCATCCATAGAGCTGGGTATACTGGCATAAAATATAATAGTGAAATAATTTATTTTATTTTTTTATAAATATTTTATTGATTTTCTATTTTGACAATCAAGTGCCTAATTAAACAACATGAAGACTGGGTCCATTAGTCATTTTGTGGTACATGTAAGCTTCTTCATACTTAATCCAATATTATACCCTCCAACACATCCTCTCTTCATCTGGTAATAGACATTATTCCACACTAAGCAAATATAACTCTTATTGTTATAAATAAATATACAATTGCCTATCAATATTTGTTATATTTTTCTAAAGGTATCAATAATGTCAGTTTAAAATATCTTTTAACCAAGCATATTTTAATTGCATTTAAATTCATTATCCATTTATTCAATCTATATCCTATTTTCGCTTTTTTCAGTTCTAATTCCCTTCTAGTAATAAACATTTTTCTACACTAAGCAAATACAATTCTTATTATTGTAAGTAAATATAGAATTGCCTATCAATATTTATTATATTTTTCTAAAAATGTCAATAATATCAGTTAAAATAGCTTTTCTAACCAAAACTTATCTTAATTGCATTTCCATTCAATATCTATTTATTCAGTCTAAATCCTATTTTCACTTTTTACAATTTTATTTCCCCGTCCATGTTCAAAATATCTAAATTATTTATAATTTCAAAACAAGTTATAGTTGGATAACCAAAAGTTTCCCCTATTCAAAATTCTTAACATATTCTTCTTTTCCTTTTTATACCAAGATATGATATTCTGATTACAAATCCTATCTAATTATAATAATTATAATATTTCTAACAATCTATTCTTAACCCTATTCAAACATCAGATTGATAATGTAACATCTCCTCTAATAGGTCAAGAATTTTGTTTCTTTCAGTCTTACTCTAGCTTTCTTCCTTTGCCAACTAACTTTCCAAGTTAGTACATTTGGATAATCAAATAGTTCTTCCTCTATTTTTGTATATATTATTTGTGTCGAGAGAATCAATTTAGTTAAAGTATTTTTGGAAGAACCAGCCTGTTGATATTCATTAAACAGCCTCTCTCCTTCTCCAATTCCCCACAGTTCTATTGACAGCTTTCTCTTCCATTCCATCAGCTCTCCTTCCTTATCCTCCAGTAAGTTCTGAGATTTTGATTTGTAGAATGTCTGCTCCATTTCCAATATTCTCATTGTTTCTTCTAAGTCTTCATTTATCTGAGTCTGGTCACAATTTTCTTCCTTCAGATCCTAAATGTTTGAGTCAGCATTTTCTATTTTTCCTTCTGTTTTCAGAATTGCTCTGTATTTATTTTCTGGATTTGTAGATTGAAATTTAAAAAATTGTTCTTTTATCTCCTTTGTGTTTATTTTAAATTCATCACGAGCTGAAGCGATTGTTTCTTGTATTGATTTCAACATGGAGAGAATTTCTTTCTGTTATTCATCAGTATTTTCTTGGTAATCTGGCAAACTGAAGCTTCTGGAGACAGGTGTTAAAGGTGGTTTTTCATCATTTAAAGTTAAGTAGGAAACATCCATTTTATATTTTGTAAGTACTCTTTATAAGTTTGTCCAACCAACTAGTTGTTCTTAAACCTCCCCTAGGCAGATATAAATAAAGTTCACTTTTTTCTGTCCAATGAGAAAAATATCCTTTTTGTCCAGGGCAAAAAAAAGAACTATTACAAGTTGTTTAATAATCAAGATTTATAAAAGCATTCCAAAATGTTCCATCACATCTGGCAATATTATATATATATATATATATATATATATATATATATATATATATATATATATATATATATATATATATATATATATATGTATGTATGTATATATATGTCTTCTTCAGGAGAATAGATCCACAATACAGCTCTAGAAGTCAGTATTTTTGTTCATATTTCAGACAGGCCAATTTTAAAATGATATTATTGTCTCTGCCACACAGATAAGCAGTCCCAAGCCTGTTCCATTTTCTCAGCTGCAAATCTCAAAAGTCAAAGCTTCAAGGCCAGGCAAAGTCTTATCTCACTCTGGGCTTCAAGCCAGGTTGCTTTTAGGCAAAAATAGATTGTAGTGCCATACATTCACCACTAGATGTCCTCAAAGCCGTTTTCAGTTTTTAAAACCCAAACTTATAAGCTTTTCCAGCCTTTTTTTAAAAAAAAAGTCTTAGAAAACATTTTTAGTCCTCAAATTTCCAAGTCATATTTATGTATTAGTTCTGAGTTAGTCTTATAGGTTTCTCCTTTTCCCTGGGTAATTAATTTGCCACTTTTCTAAGAGAATGGGGTGGAAATTCCCTTTACCTTCTCTTCGGGCAGATTTTCAGGAAAAATTCATAAAGAGAGGCTTAGATCTCACCCGGTTTCATCTACGTTGCTGTAAACTTGCTTAGTAGTGCTTGGTGTCTTCTGTTGACAGCAACTTCTGACTGGCTATCCGAATGTAGCCAGTCTTTCCCCCGCCGGTTTAGAGGCCTTCCTCAGATCAAATGGGAGGGCTGCCAACCACCCCATGATCAAAACAAGGGTCCTCTCCTTGCTTGCCGCCTCTATGGGGCAGCTTTCGACCCTTTTCAGGGTCCCCCCAGCAGAGCAAAATCAAATGCGGAAGACGGAAGACGGAGCTGGTCTTCCAGCATCTGCTTCCGCCATAACCAAAAGCCGAAAGAACTTTATTATTGAAGCAAGCTTTATGAAGTTGTTAGAACAAGTCTAGATGTGAGGACAACAAGTCTAGATGATGGAAAGGAAAGGAGATGTCTAGCTCAGAGTGACCGTATGCAGTTATGTATATGCATTTGGCAATGGAACTGGATGCTAAGAAATTCTGGAGTTTTATTTTCTTACTATTTGTGCTTGTTTGTCAGCCTTCCTGGGTAGATTAGACAGGAAACAATGAGATAATTGTACTTTATTGTAAGACCTCATTAACAGAATCTTGCAAGTCTGAAAGTACAATCTCATTTACAGCCTGAGAAGCTAGGGAGGGGGCCTTCGAGCCTCTCTTTCTGACCATTGTGCAACTGTGGAGTCTCTTATCTGACCCTTCCCTAGACAGCATTTCTTCACCCCACAACTCAAAATCTTTCCTATACACTGTTATGTTTTCCAAGAGCACCTGACATTTTCTGTGAGAATTTAACTGCTTTCTCTGAATATTATCCCTTTTTCATTCAAGGACTGAAGACTTACCACAAACCAAATATAGCTATCTAAAACTACAAGGCTGACACAGAAGACTCAAAGGCCAATGCTTTGTAACGTTTCTGAAACAGAAGAGCAAAGAAAAGTCCCTCAGTCAAATGAACAAAAGATTAGGAGTCACAGACCAGAATAATTGTACATTCTTTGTAAGGAGCCTTACCAGCCAATGTGACTGGAGTGGTAACAGTGGACTTTCCTTTGCTGGAGGTGTTTAACTGAGGGGGTGGCAGCTCTCGGTCAGGGATGCTATAGTAATGGATTCGTTTAGGTAGTGGGTGAGATTACCTACTCACTACCTAAATGGGGTAGGGTTTGTGAAGACTTAGCAACTGAACAAAGGGATTAGATAATTGCCAACATTTCTTCAACCCTTAGATGCTATGTTTTTACAAAGAGGTCTTATTGAAATAGGCTAGTTGTTGAGTTATAACTTTTATTTCATGGGCGATTGAAACTGACAAATATTGATAAGCAACGAAGCCACAGTTCAAGGACCTGTGTTATATATTCTGGAAATTACAGTGAGGTAAAATAGGATTGCAGCTTCTAATGGCAAGACTTTACCAGTCCCTTGAGAATACTAATGCAGAATTAGGCAAATATGCCCACTCTTCCCCCAGTAAAATAATGGAGACCTACTGTTCTCAAATACTGTCAAAATGAAATATTATGTAAATATTATTATTACACCCCTTCTTCTTTTCTACATAAAATAGTGAAATTCTGCTCTTGTTTTTTAAAAAAAATCAAGCTGATCTTGTGCAAGGTATGAAAGTGCCATTATATGGTGAAAGGAAGAAATGAGCCATTAAGGAGAGACTTGGACAAGAGTTTAATACTCCAGAGATAGAAAGAAGCATACAACCCCAATAATCCTATCATGAATTTGTTTAGTATGAATTGTCTCTATTTCTTGACCTGGCCTATCTCAAAGGGCTGACAGCTTTGCCCTTCTCTGCTCTGCTTTATTGAAAGTCTGGAGATAAGTTGCTAGCAAAATCAGAGTAGGGGAGAGATGGAGGGTAGGAAAGGAAGCCAGAAACAAAATGCTAATAAAGAGGGCAAACCATAAGAATAACAAATGACCAGAGGAAAGAGCAGCAATCCAGAACTTCCAGCACAATTGCTAATCATATTTGCAGCAGGTCACTGGATCTCACCTTCAAGATAATCTAGCTGCCTTTGAAGACCATTTGAATTTTGTAGCTGGTACAAAATGCTTGTTAACCTGCTTGTTAACTGGCACTTGTTTCCT